TCGTTGTGTTCACTCCCAGGGGAACTACTTCGAGGGTGATAGATGAATTTAATACCTGAGATAAGTGTACGGGTTTTTATACGCGCAGTCTTGAAACTTTCCGATCGCACCTCGTATGCCAACTTGGTGTGCATTCATAAGAAATATTCATTTCTCTGCCGTATGCTATCCTGGAGATTATGCAGACCGTCGTATTAGGTCTGACATGCTTATGATTTAACCCCCCCCCCATGAATTAATTTTAAGCATCCTTGACAAAAACACGTGCTATCAGTTTACGATGACGCAACAAAGTGTTGCAAACACTTTCGTACACCTTAAAAACGTTAAACACGTGTCATTTCCTCTCCAATCACGTAGCGATGCCTGAGGCAAATTATCCGCCCATCAGTTTATATAAGGATCGTTCTTGGGCGAGACGAAGTCAGTCGGAAAAGTATCATTAAATAAGCACACACACGGCATTAGCTTGTAATTCGAATAGCAGAGTCAGCAAACGAACGCCACAGGAAGTTGCGGTGATGAACCAGTACCATTCTTAAACCGAGCAAATAATCCGGATAGACGTAATGCTGACGCATCAGTTCCGGTCACATCCGCGATGTCACAGTTTTGTTTCCTAAAATGATAACTGAGATCCGCCACACAGAATTCACTGGCTCGCTGTTCCAATAGAAACTTTCTACTAATGCCCCGATCTCTACGAACGATTTCTACTTTACTCTCAAGTGGCCGCCAGTTTCTATCTTCTCACGGTCCTGGTGTCAACGTTGTGTTCGTGCCAAACTCCCTTCCTCGACCATCACAAAAACTATTAAAAATTTTCCCCGAGCTTCTCTATTCGATACTCAACACTTCGAATGTGGTGGTCGAGTCATTATCACTTCTTCACATTACGGATGTCACATGTTCAAATACGGGGGATTATAGCATGCAGGAGGGAAATAAGGAATGTTTACACACCTCAATGGGAACATATAATACTGAAATGGCCTTAAAGAAATTGTGTGTGAAGATACAGACGTTATTTAGATTTCCGAGTGAAATGTCGGCTTTTTATGAATATTCTAATAAACCGTTTAATTGCAAGAAACAAGAGAGGTGTTAATTCCCGCTTTTCAGTAAAAATACATGTAAGTAACACAGAGTTAATTTAGGAAACGTCATCTTGATCTCTCTTCGCCCCTCCTGTTCAGGTAACGTGTTCAAGTAATGCATAAGACAGAAACAAAACATTTGCAATTGAATTACAGAATTTCACCGACACTAAATTACGTACTCAGTCCAGAAATGTGGTTCTAAAGAATAAATTAAATTATTTAATTACCCTATATATGAGATGATAAAGTTGCGTCATATCCTTGACAAAAACACGTGCTATCAGTTTACGATGACGCAACAAAGTGTTGCAAACACTTTCGTACACCTTAAAAACGTTAAACACGTGTCATTTCCTCTCCAATCACGTAGCGATGCCTGAGGCAAATTATCCGCCCATCAGTTTATATAAGGATCGTTCTTGGGCGAGACGAAGTCAGTCGGAAAAGTATCATTAAATAAGCACACACACGGCATTAGCTTGTAATTCGAATAGCAGAGTCAGCAAACGAACGCCACAGGAAGTTGCGGTGATGAACCAGTACCATTCTTAAACCGAGCAAATAATCCGGATAGACGTAATGCTGACGCATCAGTTCCGGTCACATCCGCGATGTCACAGTTTTGTTTCCTAAAATGATAACTGAGATCCGCCACACAGAATTCACTGGCTCGCTGTTCCAATAGAAACTTTCTACTAATGCCCCGATCTCTACGAACGATTTCTACTTTACTCTCAAGTGGCCGCCAGTTTCTATCTTCTCACGGTCCTGGTGTCAACGTTGTGTTCGTGCCAAACTCCCTTCCTCGACCATCACAAAAACTATTAAAAATTTTCCCCGAGCTTCTCTATTCGATACTCAACACTTCGAATGTGGTGGTCGAGTCATTATCACTTCTTCACATTACGGATGTCACATGTTCAAATACTGGCATAACACAAGAGATCTCATTACGATTCATAACCTTTATTTAAAGCTCATTTCACTGTGATGTCTTCTGATATACACGAAAAATCACGATACGTTGCTCTGTGAATAAATGGTGGTGTACGGGCTTTGGAAATGCTTTAGGCTACAACTTTTCCACTCTCATTTAATTTCGCGGTTCGTCTTTTTAAGTTTTCTCCAATTTTCAATGCTTCTCACGCATACATAACTACAAGCTACTACGAGAACGTGATGTTCATGTAAACATTGTACAGTGGAGTTATTCAAAACTACTGCCGCAT